TATGTAATTATTTTTAAGAATTTAAATATTAATGCCATATTTAAACAAATGAACACATTAAGGGAGCTGAAGTCCTTGTAGTTAAATGTAAAAAAGTCTGAATTTCTTTTCCAAGAAGAGATAACACCTACTAACACCTACTAGAATTTAGAAATCTTCAAATAACTTCTGGCCAGTGAAAAAGCTCATTTGCAACTTTATTTGAAAACTTATTTGCCTGTAAAAGTAAGAGGAAAACATGAGCAAATGCTTGACAATTTCAAGTTTAAAACTCTCATTCACTGAAATTATCTGAAGACGAAGGAGGGAAAATTGGAGTTTCTCTTCACCAAATTCTCCACTTTCTTGAGACAGATAAAGAACTGATGAGAGGATTCAAATTGAAGATCATAGATGAATAAAGAATCCAGTGAACAAACAGAAAAAATTATCTGAAGTGGCCTGGTGGGCAGTGTTGCTTCTTGTGTTTTGAACTCACTGAGATTGATTAAAACATATTTATTCACTATGTCATATCACCACTAATATTTCTGTTTAAGTTTTATAATTGCTATCATCACAACTATAAATAAAATCTTCAGAAGAAAAGTGGGAAAAAAATCCCTGCTCCACTTCTAAAAGATCACCACAGGCAAGTCATTTAAAACTGTCTGTGCTTGAGTTTACTGATCTGTATTACAAGAGTATTGAACTAGAAAATCTCTAGCTAGTCTCTTTTAAGCTTTAATGTCTGAAAATTTAAAATGTATTTATTTAAATTTTAAAAGTAGAACATTTTAGACTAAAAACATTAAATTCACCCTGTTCCTTTTTCCTCTAAAAAGAAGTCTCATTTATTTTTAACCACTGAAACAAAACTTCAAGAGTGATTATAATGGGGGGGTCACTAAAAAATTCAATATTTTACCAGTCTTGAGCCTGATGCACATAAATGTAGGAAATAGGAAGCTTTGGGTTTCAGGACTGCAGATTTGCAAGAATCCATCTTGGGTAAGGGCTATCATTAATTTAAGTAGATTTTTCATATCAATTATGAATAAAAATATGTGCATTGATATGTTTGTCTCATTTCAAACTTACTGTTCACTCTGCTACCTAAAAACACAAACCGGCAATACATTTGGAATACTGTATTTTGATTATAGAAAGATCACATTATTATCTGCTAATAATAAGTAGTTTTCAAATGTTCTTGATATTTCAGAAATATAGAAGGAATAATAATATTAATGAATAAGGCCAATATTAGGAATATTTTAACATATAAAAGACCATATTTAACACCAATCAGTACTTTTGATATTCTCTTGTAAGTCAAATAGTATATCTAAAACATTTTGAATATGCATCATTTTTTATATATAATTTTAAACTGAATATACAAAACATCTGAAGGTATTTTTTCTCTTCTTGACTTCCTATCATCCATTTCTCATAAGCACATAATGTTAATATTTTATTTTAGGTTCTCTGCTGTAAACATTTTTAATGTTGGTTTATTTAATCTGTAACTTTTACATCTTCCTAGACATTTCCCACTGGTTACTGACTGGACATGGTACAGTTACTCTAAATTGTGATAGACATAGTAGGCATACTTAATAGCCAAGGGAAATTAGAGAGTCCTGTGGATAATTGCCAGGCAATCAATATTCATAGTTTTTAATAGAAAAAAAAGAGAAACAAGCTAGCACAATTTTAGAAAGAAATGGTCCAGTAAAAAAAAAAGTCTCACTTTGACCATTATATAAAGGTTAAAAGTATAACTGTATTTTATTGTTTTAGAAAAGTAATTTGGGAGCTGGAGAGATGGCTCAGTGGTTAAGAGACTGGCTGATCTTGTAGAGGACCCAGGCTCTGTTCCCAGCACCCACATAGCAACTAACAACCATTGGTAACTCCAGTTTCAGGGGATCCGACAACTTTTTCTGACCTTTGTGGATATTGCATGACACATGTGCACTTGAATACATGCAGGCAATGCACTCATACACATAAAATAAAAATAATAAATAATATATTTTAGAAAAGTAGTTTGTAAGGTAGTACATTTTTCAGGATGGACCTGGATTGTAATTTGCTGAAAAACACTCAAACAAGAAAAAGAAATATACCTAAGATTGAGAGTTGGGGATGCAGCACAGTGGTACACTGTTTGCCCAGCATGAATGAAGCTGGCAAATTAGGTCTTAATGAATGAGGCAAGTTTTTAAAAAATTCAAAGTTGTTTGTGCCATGTGACGGTATACATTCTGTAGTATGCTAGGATGGAGGGCTTTGGCAGGTCTAAAATGATTGGCAAAGGCTTTTGATAAAGAGGTGATCCTGAGTTGTTATTGAACAGTTTTGTTTATAGACAAAGAGGCAAGAAAATGGGGCCTCAGGTCAGTAAGAAGTTAAAAATGTAGCAGAAGAAGAGTTGAAGGCAGCTGTCTAATACAAAGGACTCCAGCCTTGTCTACTAGTAGAAAGAGTGAGGTGGGGATGGGGCAAAGAAACAGACATTTCCACACTTAGGCATGCAGTTTGAGAATACATAAATTACAGTTTTAACAGTTTGGGCTCCAAGAAGCAAAGAGTGACCCAAACAGAAAACCGCTGGCAACTAAGTGAAGATTCACAGCTCACTCCCTGATAGGCACATTTCCTCTTGCCTCCAGCTTCTTGAGGTTTACCTCCCATAGCTCATCAGGATCATTTGTTCCAATTTACTATGACTAAGCATTCTGTTCCCACCACAACCCTGAATTTGCCTGTCCCTGAATTTGTTATAGTGTAACAATCTACACAATGGCTGGAGCCAAACACCCCTCCTCCACAAAAGCCTTCCTCAAATACCTGATTTTTAAAAGAGCCGTCCCCTTGCTGTATTATTAAATATAAATTTCACCATTCATATAATACAAACAACTTTGATTTGTAGATACAAATGCAACTGTTGTTTCAATCCTATAAGAATCCTTAAGGGAAAATCTGTGTAATATGCCACAGGGTTTTTGCATTTTTATAAGCTAGTCTACAAAAACAAAAAGCCAACTTACAAAATAATGCTAAATAAGAATTTGTTGAATAAAATGTATTCCAGTGCTAGCACATTTTTATTCTCTTCATTTTTCTCCTTATCCTTATGAGGCAATCCTTATATTAAGACCAGTTTTCTAACACTCAGAAAATTAAATTACTGAAACATACCTAGGTTCTTCCAACAATACGCCCACCATGAGGGCAAAAGAGGCATCTCAGACACAGAGGGTGATACTAATAATTGCAGCAAAAAGAAGAAAATAGAAACATCTTTCTCACTTGTTTGCTGAAAAGGAAGGCAGTGTAAGATAGGGGAGGGAAACTCATCTTGCCCAGCTCTTAATATATCTGATCATTTCATTCCACCTGGTAGGAGCTGGGAAAGAATAGGCAAAAATCAAAAGGAAGGGTTCCATTAGGGAGTATTTAAGATTGAACAGATGGTTTGTTACTGTGTAGACAACAGAATAATCGTGTTTGTTTGTGGCCAAGTGTCCTATGTAGCCCAGGCTGGCCTGGAATTCAGTATCCCCCTGCCTTAGTCTCCACATCGATGGGAGTATTCATCTTTTAAACACATGTTCCAGTTTTTCTTCAAGCTACATGAACATAAATAGAATACTGTTAAAAAAAAAACTGTTCAAAAGGTTAATTTTCTTTTTTGATTGAAATTTCAGCTTAGGGATGTGGACTGTTGCCCAAGCACTTTTAAATACAATTAGCTGGTTCAACAACCAAAGAAAGACACAACTCAAAAAAGGCTGCAAGGACCTATGTGCCCACTTTTAGCAACAATTAGTAGCCCTCAATGCCCCGTCTTTTACCATAATTATTTCCAAGCACCTCGTTAATTTCTGCACCAACCTTAATATTTGGCTGTTAGGCAGGGGAGCACAACTGGACGCCTCTCAGAACAGAGAGCTGTTACCTAGAGACTAAAGAAGAGTTAGGGGACACTTCCTTGGGCAAAAAATAAGGGACTACCTCAAATTCCAGTAATGAACATAAGCATTGTAAACATATTTAATAAAACATCAGAAATAAAAGCAAGAAAGTCCATAGTGAACAAATATAAAAATTTTAAATGAAGACAGAATCTGTCATGCACTGGAATGACTCGCTTTACACAAATCTTCGGAATTTTTAATCTGATCTTAAATGTTGGGGTCAGTGGCAAGTGCTTGGGTCTCCTTAAGCTAGTCCAGATTCTGAGTCCTAAACTCTTTCCTGCTAGGTACCTTCCTGAGTGTCTTCACTAAATGCCACCTTTGGATTCAAAATCCTTGCAGATCAGTGTACTTTTCCTCTGGATAGACCTCTGCTATTTATTTCTGACTTCCCCAGTGGGCTCACTGATCTGCTGGTGGACTCCTTCCAAGCGGGAAGCTGATGTTTTAACAGGTACCCGGCCTTGAGGCGCGTCCTGCACTTTCAAGTCCCACATTTGTTGCTACTCTCCACCTGCGGGAGGCGCGCGGTTTGGCACACTGCTAACGACAGGAGAATTCGGCTTTGGCGGGAAGTTCTCATGGCCACAGAAACGTCCCCTCTTTTCAGACCTCTGAATGAGTGCTCCTGTCACTTCAACCTCACCTTCTTGCCAAATGGGACTGGCAAAGGCCGAACTGGATCTGAACCCAGTCTCAAAAGCACCCCACCACCCCGTACGAAGAAGGAAATGTAAGGGTTTGGGAGACAGTGCAAAAAGCAACTGCTTGGGCTTTCGCTGTCCCTATAATAGCAAAGGAAAAAAAAAAAAAGAACAAGGCAACTGCGGATTCCCTGCGGGTCACACGGGAACACTATGCGTGAGGGAAGTGCTTGGACTCGGGCACCCCTCGGGCAGTCTTAGCCGGCAGCCAGCGAGGGCTTCGGGCAAGTTCGCGGGCCACGCCTTCCAAACCGGCTGCCTCCTCTGATTGGCCTAACAGCCTGTCACTCCAATCTGGCTCCCACTTCTGCCAACCACTCACGTAGTTTGGTTGCGTCTCGGCGTGTTTAATGTTGCCAATAACGAGAGCTTTTTTTTTTAAGGGGGGTGGGGGGCTCGAGTACATATCTAGCTGCAATTAGTTCATTGAAAACTCAGTCGCTCTCGGAGCGGTCGGGCGAACACTGCTCTCAGCTTTTTCTTCCTGCCTGAAGATCTCCAGCGGAGAGCCGCCACAATGCCCAAGAGAAAGGTTTGTGAAATGGGAAGAGGGAAGGGAGATCTGCCGCTGAAAGACAGATTTCCTAAGGCTGAGATTTCTGTGTTTTTGAGAGAGGATTTGGCTTCTAGTTTGATTTGGGGATGTGCTGAATGGAAGGAGAGGGAAGGGCAGCGAGCCTTTGGCGGCAGGATTTCGAGAGGTCTCGGATGCAACTGGTAGTTCACTTTTGGCTTGTTTTGTTGAAGGGAGAGAATCGTTTGAGAGGTGTCTCCATGCTGAATTACAAACAGCCATAGCGCTGTGCTGTCGCTTCCTACCCCACCCCCCTTCCTCCGCTTACCCCATTGGAGAACTCTTCTCCCAAGCACGCTTCCAGCTCCCGCTCCCTCCTCTGCCTTCAGCTTTTCTCGGGGAACCTTCCCGTCGGTGGGAACGAAAGCCCCGGCTTGGTCTTGTTTTTGCCTTTGTTCTTCCCGTTTTCTTTTCTCCTTTTTTCCCCCTCTTCCCTCCTCCACTTCTTGTCATGCCAGATGGCTATGCAATGGTAATCCTGTGCCATTAGGCGGCGCAGACTTCAAACTGTCCTAGAGCCGGGAGAGATTCACCACTGTAACGAGAAACTTTAGATCTGAGAGATTTAGCACTCTGAGAACTCTCTAGTCAAAGGTGGAACGGTGATTAGAGGGTCGTGTCCGAGCAACGATTGCGGACCTTGGCGGTCGGGTGGCAAGGGATTTGCTCTCCCGAGCCGGGCACACTTGCCCCGAGTTACTCAGGGGCTGCAAGGTCCTCTGGACCTTCGCTCCAGAATTCCTGGCTCCGCGCACACGGGAAACAAGTTGACGCCCGGGCTCCGGGTTTGCGTGCCCCCCTCCCCTGTGCCTCTTACTACTGAAACGGAGCGCTGTTTCATTGCTTGGCAAAATCGCAAAAACACCGTGTTAATATAAAGCACTATGATTGTTTTTATATTATTCCTGTGAATCTGTCCGCCTTCCATATTCCTAAAACAGAAATAAGGCCGAAATTCCCTGGTGCTCTGGGGCGGCATGAACCCTGTAATATTAGCTTGATATTTCCCAGGGTAAAGGGTTACTCAGATACCGAAAGCAGTCGTTTCTAATCACCATCCCCCTTCCCGAGGTTCCCGCCTGGCTTTTTGCAAGCTTGTGCAATGGATCTTGCTGGTTTGCAGAGCTGATAGCAACCTTGTAGCAGGTAGTGGCGGGAAGTTTTAAAATACGCTGTTTGCTTCTCAGAATAAAATGTTATTATTAAAACAAAGACGTTCTCCCTTGTGTACTGGGATTGTTATTTTTGTACGCAGAACTTGGGGAGGAAAATAGCGCAGAGTCAGTAGGGGGGTGGTCAGATAGATACAATTGTATGGCAAACAAGGCAAGAGAGGGAAATTGCAAGAAGCTCCGCCTTCTTTCGTCTGGCCTCCACCCTTGTTTTGACTTTAACATTAGACCAGGTGGACTTAAAACCGAAAATAAAGAGTTGTTAATTACCCCAAAAAGATATATTGACTCCGTTGTATAAGCCTGTCTGGAGCAAGCTCCTGCACCTTGGTGCACATTTTGTTACACTGCAGGGTGCAGAATAGCTCCTAAGAAACAACACGTGGCTGCTGGAGCGGGAACCCAGGAAAATCACAAGTGGCTAAACTGCAGTTATAATCCATAGGTGATGTTTTCTGTTCTATGTATTTATGTTGATGGGCTTATGTATTTTTTTTTGTTTTTTTTTTTTCTGTATAGGCTGGAGGTGATGGGAGTCAGGAGGTGAGTGTGTTTAGTTTGAGAATGTCTAGAAAAAATGCTCTCGTTTTAGAAAGTAAAGACACATAACTAGGTACAAATAAATGCTGGTGGTTTTATTTGTACCACATGAGTACTAATATAGCAAAGACCAGTCGTCTCTCTCTGAAGTAGAGTGATAAAAATCATGGAGTATTTGGAATTTAGAACCTAATTGTGCTTGCTATGATCTAATATCTGAAGAGCACGCTCTTAAGCACAAAAATTGTTTCGTCAGTTGACAAGCAGAAGGCATATTTTCGTTTTAAAATGTGCTACTTGGTACTGGTCACTGTGTGAATTTAGCTTAGCAAAAGAAGATAGCTTAGGGATGCTTTCTCCATCAGTATATAATGGGTCCAAATGAGAACAAAAATCAAACATTTCTCCTATGGTATTTTCTAAACAAATTAAGAATCGCTTCCTTAATCGCAATATTGACATACTGTTACACCAAAGAGTTTCTCGATAAAAATAATTCTAGATTTGTATACCCATAGATCTTTTAACTGCTATTTTTTTTCCACTTACAGCCAAAGAGAAGATCAGCCAGACTGTCTGCTGTAAGTGGTCTTTTTTAAAAGCTGCACATGTATTGTGGAATGGAATTTTAAAAACTGGGGAATTCTGCATAATACTGTATTTAATTGGAAGGCTTATTTTGAAGTGTTTGGGGAAAAACTTGTATATTGAAGAAAGCTTTTTCCCATCATACCTACATAT